TAAACATATATAGAATGTATATCATAATGCTTGATACATAGTAAGCCCTCAATAACTGGTAGCTATTATTATTATGACATAGTGATAATTTAACTCTGCCTTCTGTTAGCACTGTTAGAAAAGTGGAGCCTTGGCCAGTATGGGTCAGTGGTGAGAGCATAGTCCAGTGCACCAAAGGGTCCTGGTTCTATTCCAGGTCTAAAGCATGTACCTGGGTTACAGGTTCATCCCTGGGCCCATTTGGGGTGTGTGTGGGAGACAACCAATCTATGTGTCTCTATCACATTGATGTTTCTCTCTCTCTCCCCCGCCCCACACCTTTCTCCCTTCCACTCTCCCTAAAAATGAATGGAAAAAATATCCTCGTGTGAGGATTAACAGAACACATCCAATCTTAAAAAAAAAAAAAAAAAAAAAAAAAGACCAGTGGAGACATCCCCTCTGTTCAATTGTAACCTTGTTAAGGGCAAGACTGTGCATACTTTTTATACCCCATAGGCCTAGCACATAGTAGGAAGTTCATACACTTTTGTTGAATGAAATAATTCCTTTTTTATGTCTACCTCCTTCTTCCTCCAACCCTATCCAGAGTCTACATGAAGAGGTATGGTTGTTTAGACCACAGATTTTTGGATCAGACAGGTTTGAATTTTGGCTCTGCCACTTACTACCTATATGACCTTTGACAAATTACTTGACAAATCTGCATCTCACATATACCATGAAAATATCCACTTCATAGAATTAAATGAGAAATTACAGCAAAGCACAATGCCTGTCCCAACTAAGTGCTTGAACAGTAATAATACCACTACTACTTCTACTACTACCATTATTATGATGATGTTTCTTTTGAAAAAGGAGGCATGCCTCTCCAACCCCCAGGATTAAGGAGTGGTTTGGTGAGAGGGTGTGTGATACATTCACACTAGGGAATAGAACTTTTTCTTTTTCTTTTTTCTTTTTAAAAAATATATATTGATTTCAGAGAGAGGAAAGGAGAGGGACAGAGAGAGATAGAAACATCAATGATGAGAGAGTCATTGATCGTCTGCAGCCCGCAACCCTGGCATGTGCCCTGACCGGGAATCGAACCCCAATCGCCTGGATCCCAGTCAACGCTCAACCGCTGAGCCACACCTGGCTGGGTTAGAACTTTTTCAAGAAATATTTACTAAAGTTGGAAAAGCAAGAAAGAGACAAGTGAGCAAGAGAAACTGAATCAGACATAAATAAAACTGGGAAGTGGGTGACATTTGTTTGTGGTGGCCCCCTTCCATGCTTGGGCCGTTACCTCTCTCTCCAATTTAGGCTCTTACTGATATGCCAAGACCAGGTCTTCCATGTTGTCTACTAATGCCCCAAAACTTTTCCCTATCGTCTTCTCACTTGCTCTGTATGTTCTAGACTCTTGGGAACTAGTCAGGAACTAATATACTAATCTGAGGTCAGATGTTAATGGTCTGCTAATAGTTTCGTTTCTTCAATGCACAGTGCTATTGAATACCTTAACTCATGAGAGACTGACTTGTGAAAATTGCAGGTCTGGGTGGTGATGTGGGAATGAGGGACGAGGTCTTTGAACAGAGAGAACCTTTCCATGCTGCATAGGCATCTGCCTACTCCGCCCTTGGGTAGAGTGAGACTTGAACAGAAGAAATGGATATCTAAGTGGACTGGGAATGTCCTTCCCAGTAAACTCCTTTGATGTCCTCAAAATGCTAAAAACCACAATAAACACCTCAAAGTTGCAGCCTTTAGCATTCACAATCATAATCTCTCTTATTGACAGTATATCTTTTTTAAAATTTTTTTTATTGTTCAAAATATTACATATCCCCCCTTTTTCCCCATTGACCCCTTCCACCCCACACCCACTCCCCTCTTCATTAATAACTTAATAAACTGATGAACAAAATAGATTCAGTGACATGGAAGCATGGATCAGACAGTATATCTTTTGATCCTTTCTCTTTTGAAGCTTTCCCAACCCCTGACTGCCTCAGATCCATAGTCTGCTGCCACCTACAGCTGCCACCAGCTGGTAGACCAGACTTTGTGTAACTTTCCACCATTTGGGGGCCTCTGTTGCATTGCAGGCCTGCTTCTCTACAGTCATCTACCACCAATGGATATTTCTTGAGCACCTCCTTCTGTAAGGTCTTGCCTTCCCTCCTTGCTACTACTGAGATTGTGTAATGTATAGGGCTTTATGCACAAATATACCACTAGTTATCTCACAGAAGGAGATATATTTGGGCTATTTTCAAAAGAAAAGAAAAAAGAGAGTTTTTCAATCCATTTGCCCACCTGGTTACTTTAAAAAACAAACAAACAAACTGTGCAAAGACATTAGGATGGCCAACCATCCCAGCTTGCCTAGGACTGAGGAGTTTCCTGGGATGTTCAGGAAGCAAGAGAGTCCTGGACAAACCAGGGTGGTTGGTTACCCTCAAACATTTATTGACTGCCCACTTTTTACCTAGCATAACTTTAGGCACTGATGGGTTGCCTTCTAGGCCAGTTTTAAATGAATGCCAGAGCAAGTGATGCTTTAAGGCACAAATATACTGGTAAATGTTTAACAATCAGCTCTGTGGGGAAGAAGGAGGGCGATCACTGATTTGTAGCATTTGCCAATTTCTGTGGTATAAACGCTCTTACCATGGCCAATTTCAAGCTACTAATGTGATATCGTTGAACGGGGAATAGAAAAAGATGCAGAGTAGAACACAATTATTTAACAATTCCACCAAACAGATACAATAGATGTGAATAACCTCAAGAGCACAGATAATAGTAAAATGTAGTAAAATAATTAGGAAGTGATGAGTTTAGAATATTACCTTTATTATAATAAAATGTATTTATTTGCAAGTTTATATCATTTAATTTTTAATAAAGGCTTTAACAACTGACTTGCAAAATTCCTAAGAATTTATCCACTTTCACAAGTAATCTTGACTGAAACCATCACCACAAACAGGATAAAGAGCATGTCCATCTCTTGCAAATGTTATCTTGTACCCTTTTATAAATGCATCCCTTTCTCTCTCCGTCACTAACCTGCTGTCAGAAATTATAATTCTAGAAATTATAAAATTTTCTACCTGGAGAGCATTCTGCTAAGTGAAACAAACCAGTCAGAAAAAGACAAATACTATATGATTTCACTCATATGTGGAATCTAATGAACAAAATGAACTAAGAAGCAAAATAGACTCATAGAGAGCAGGCTGACAGCTGTCAAGTGGTGGAGGTTGGGGGGGCTGGC